GAGACCAGGCCAGGAATACTACTAAACATCCTACAAGGCACAGGATAGGTCCCCACAACAAATAATTGTCTGGTCTAAAATGTCAGTTGTGCATCTGTTGAGAAATCTTGAGTTAGGAAAACAGGTTTTAGATATGACACCAAAAGCATGATTTATGAAAGAAAAAATTGATAAATTGTATTAAATTTTTTAAAAACTTCTGTTCTGCAAAAACTTTAGTTCTTTGATTAAGAGAATAAAAAAGACAAGCCACAAACTAAGAGAAAATATTTTAAAATCACATCTGTCAAAGGACTTATATTCGAAGTATATAAAGAACTCATATACTCAACAACCAGAAAACAAAAAACCCAATTTTTCAAAACAAAAAATTGAATCAGAGTTTTTACTAAGGAACATATTTAGGCCAGGCGTGGTGGCTCACGCCTGTAATCCCAGCACTTTGGGAGGCTGAGGTGGGCAGATCACGAGGTCAGAAGATTGAGACCATCCTGGCTAACATAGTGAAACCCCATCTCTACTAAAAATATGAAAAATTAGCCAGGGATGGTGGCACGCACCTGTAGTCCCAGCTACTTGGGAGGCTGAGGCAAGAGAATCGCTTTAACCTGGGAGGCGGAGGTTGCAGTGAGCTAAGATCACGTCACTGCACTCCAGCCTGGGTGACAGAGCAAGACTCCATCCTCCCTCCCCCACAAAAAAGAACATATTTAGATGTAAAATAAGCATAATAAAAAATGTTCTTTAGTAATCATTAGGGAAATACAAATTAAAACCACACTAAAACACCCACAACGTGCCTATTTGAATAGCTATAATTTTAAAGCCTGGCAATCTGAAGTGCTGGTGAGAATTCTGAGCAATTGGAATTCATATACATTGCTGGTAGGAATGCAAAATGGTACAGCCACTTTGGGAAACAGTTTGGCAGTTTCTTATAAAGTTAAACATATACCTACCATATGACCCAGCAATCTCATGCCTAGCTATATATCCAAAACAAAAGAAAAGATGTTCAAACTATAGGAGCGGATTCTCTCTACCCTTCAAATTCTTACAGACTCCTATAACAAAAGGTAGATTAACAAGAGGAAAACAAACAAATTTAACAACATGTATACCTTATTATACATGGGAGATACCCAGAAAAATAAGTAAATCCCAAAGGTGTGGCTTTGATTTCAGGCTTAAATACAATTGTCTACTGAAATAAAGAGGGAAGGATGGGAGGAAGGACAGACATAAGGAGATGCCTAGGAAAGTGGGATAACAAGGGTAAGATTTCTTACACAGATATAAGTCCGGTGCCTTGTCCTTTGATAAGAGTCTCTAGTGATATAATGTCCTTTGCTTCATAGACACCCTTACAAATGGAGATTTCCTTTATAGACATAAATGTCCTTTATAAAAGGGCAACTTCTACTCTGTTTTCAGATCTTCTTCTGTGTCTGCAGTTTCTCAAAATGATTAGCACAAAACAATCCATATGCCAAAGAAGCATATTTTGGGGTGGCATATTCTGGTCTCCTACAATATAGAAACCTATAGGTAAATATTTGTAGCTGATTTAAAAATTGGAAACAACCTAGATGTACCACAAACTGTGGTACATACATGTAATGGAATGCCACCAGCAGTAAACCTGAATGAACAATTGATTCACAAAACAACACAGATAAATCTTACCTGCATTTTGAGAGGCTAGACCCAGAATTATTTGATTTTATTCATATGGCACTCTGGGAAAAGCAAAACTATAGGGAGGAAAACAGATGAGTAGGTAGCGGATCAGGGGTTGGGGGGTGGGTTGTCTATGAAGGAGTAGCACAAGGAAACTTTGGGGTCATGGAATTATTATGTATAGAATTATAGTGGTCCATAGTACAATTCTGTGCATTTGCCAACACTGATAGAACTATACCACAAGAAGTGAATTTTATTGCATGTAATTTTTTTTTAAAACTCAACCAGGATAAAGAAAACGTGGCACATATACAATATGCAATACTATGCAGCCATAAAAAAGAATGAGATCACGTCCTTTGCAGGGACGTGGAGGAAGCTGGAAGACATCATTCTCAGCAAACTAACACAGGAACAGAAAACCAAACCCTGCATGTTCTTACTTATAAGTGGAAGTTGAACACTGAGAACACATGGACACAGGGAGGGGAACATCACACACTGGGGCCTGTCGGGGGTCTGTCTCCCTCCCTTGTTGGGCAAGGGGAGGGAGGGCTTAAAACCTAGACGATGGGTTGCAGCAAACCACCATGGTACATGTATACCTATGTAAGAAACCTGCACTTTCTGCACATGTATCCCAGAACTTAAAGTAAAATTAAAACAACAACAACAAAACCTCAACCAGGATATGAGAGAAAAGAGGGAATGCAGATTGTGATAAATGCATTTTACTATGTTACAAATTAATCATATAACTTCCCTGAAAGGGATGGGGAAGAAGTAAGCTGACCTGAGTAAGGGTCAACTAAGTAAGGGTTTCCAGAAAACTCTTCAGCTCCCCTAAGTAACTTTGGAAAACAGCACCGGACCTGCCCCAGTGAAACCTGGTGCCATAAGCCCCCATGTCCCAGTCTCCAGGCTGGAAACTGTGGACAAAACTTTTAAGATGCTCCAACACCAGCTCTATTCTGTGCCTTCAGATTTTGAGCCCGTTGTTTCTTCTGACACTTTAGCTCTCTAATAAGTTCAAAAAAAGTTCTGAATTTGAAGTTAACTCAGTGACCTTCACTGTAAGTGTAAGAATGATGTCCCTTCTATCTCTCTACAGAGTGGAAGTCGTTTCTTTCCATTTTTAATGGCTGAACTGTATTTCATTAAATGAATGTATAATTTACTTTATTTAACCAATCCCAATCACTTACTATTGTGCCTGTAGGCAATTTTCCACTCTTTGCTATTATAAACAAAGTTAATTGACCCTTGTAAGCATCTTTGAGTTGCTATAAAGGAATACCTGAGGTTAGGTAATTTATAAAGAAAAAAGGTTTATTTGGCTCATGGTTCTGCTGGTTGTACAAGAATCATGGTGCCAGCATCTGATTCTGTTGAGGACTTCAGGTTGCTTCTACTCACCGTGGAACGCAAAGGGGAACTGCTGTGTGCAGAGATCCCAAGGCAAGAGAGCCAGCAAGAGACACAGGAGGAAGGGGCAAGGCTCTTCTGAACAACCAGCTCTTGTGAGAACTAATAGAGTGAGAATTCACTTATTACCATGAGGATGGCACCAAGCCATTCATGAGGGACCTGCCCCCTTGACCCAAACACCTCCCAGCAGGCCTCACCTCCAACACTGGGGCTCAAATTTCAACATGAGCTTTGGAGGGGTCAAATATTCAAACCATAGCAACGGGAGAAGACATTTCCTTATGAAGAAGCAATATACATTGAAATACAACCTATAGAATTGATATAGACATTATTCAATCTGCAGAAGCACATGTTGGGACTGAAAAAGGATCACACTAATGAATTCTGTCATAGATGTGTCTCTTGTTCTCATTTTAGAATAAATGATATCCATATCAGATTATCTGGGTGATTAGCACAATGGCTTTGATTTAAAAATATTAAGCCTACATATTGGCTGTTCCCTGATGCTGACTGCTATAGCCTATGTGCTCTACCCAATCCAGAAAGGGAACCTCTCCTTCACCCAAACAGGCAGCTGTATCAGTGTTTGGGTGAAAAGGAAGATGGATTTCAGCTGCCCTAAAAAACAAAGAAAAGTTGAAGATGGCTTCTTCCCCTTCTCCCCCTCCTCCTCCTCCTCCTTCTTCTTTCTCTTCTTCTTCCTCTACCTCCTCCTCCTCCTCTCCCCGCCTCTGCTCCGCTCCTCCTCCCCCAGCTCCTCCTCTTCCTCCTCCTTCTGTGAAATAAGCCTGGCTTACTGGTAGGAGAGTCTGTCTTGAATCAAAAATGGGTTGACCGGGCAGAGTGGTTCACGCCTGTAATCCCAGCACTTTGGGAGGTCGAGGCGGGTGGATCACTTGAGGTCAGGAGTTTGAGACCAGCCTGGCCAACACGGTGAAACCCTGTGTCTACTAAAAATACAAAAATTAGCCGGGTGTGGTGGCAGGCACCTGTAATCCCAACTACTCTGGAGGCTGAGGTGGGAGAATGGCTTGAACCCGGGAGGGGGAGGTTGCAGTGAGCCAAGATCACACCACCACACTCCAGCCTGGGCGACAGAGCAAGACTCCATCAAAAAAAAAAAAAAAAAATGGTTAACTGAATTACAACAGGAAACATCTCCAGTGACAGCCCAGCTTGCTCCAGGTCCCAGTGGGGGAAGAGAGCATCTCATCCCTACTTCCTTCAACTCTGGACTTAACAGGTAGCTACCCTAAGGTGCCCTGGCAAAGTGATCTGGACCTTGGGATTTCTCCTTTCAGGACTGCCCAAAGAAGAATGAATAGTTGCCAAAGGAAGAAGCAGCAATCAGGAACCCTGTCTGTAAATGTAGCTAATTTCTATTTAATTGGCGAGTAACTACATTTAAAATAAACACTAGTTGGTAATCAAAAACAGGAGGTTAAAGGATAGGCCATTGTAGAAGCCAGAGAGAATTACTAGGCCAAAACAAAGCTGGGGGAGAGTGGAGAGACTCGCTGCTTCAGAGAAAACGTGGTCAGGAGAAGAGGAATTGTCGCTGCTGTGGGCCTCACAGATCTCATAAAGATTTATATCTGGTTTTATTTGTGTTTGTTAGTCATCAACGAAACTGATTTTAATCACCAACTGGTCTTTAATTATAAAGCATTCATTCCTTTATTACATAAAAATTAAAAACACATGTAAGAGGCAATTTTAAAACTATCAAACGGGATGAGTTTGGCACATCCTTGTGCAACCCCAGAGAAAGAGGCAGAGATTGGACAGGTTTCCAGAAAATCCTTCAGCTCCCCAGGCATTTGCTGAACCCCCTGGCTGCTGGCAGTATGGGATTTCAGGCAACCGCAGAGACTGCTCCCCTCCAGGAGAAGAATGTGGAATCCGCAGAGCTGGGTTAAGGCACATCCGCTGCCAAACTGTCTCCAGCATGTGTAATCCCTGCTTTTCGGCACCACCCAAGATGTACTAATGCGTCTTGTAAAGACTCACTCCCGTGGCCTGTGGGGTTCGGCATTGAAAGAGAGGGTGGGAGAGGAAAGGAAAGAGAAGGGGAAAGGGTAAGAATGGCTGAGTGAGATCCCTAGGCTGTGAGCAAGTTCTTCAAATGGAGTTTTCCTTTGAGGCAGACATTTTCCAGTTAAACTTTAAACTCAAACGCTTGTCCTATTTATCTCCAAAATGCAGGCTATGTGTCTCCCTCCTAATTAGCATGAAATTATTTCTTCTTTTTCCTTCATTAGAAATTAGGATTGATTTTTTTAAAGATAAAATTTGTATTCCTGCTTAATTTTTAGACTCATTTGGAAGCAGTGCATTTTTATCAGAGGGACTGAAAAGCCTTTCGAGAATCAGTCAAGAAAAAGGAATGTGCATGAGCGTCACGGTGAGTAGCACTTCTCATCAAACTAGCTGCCCAGGGGTGTTAAAGTGCTTTCTAAAAAGGGAACTAACAGGGCTGCTCACCATTTACTGTTTTCTAAGAGCCTTAGCTAAATTAATCATAGCACACACCAGCCCTGTAAGGTAAAATGATTCCTGGTGTTTTGAAAGCAATCAGCGATCCACAAAAAGGGAGGTAATGTCCCCCAGAACCAAGATTAAAACTCCGACGTTGAGGGAATCTCCATTCCCTTCCTGTCATCAAAGGCCAGCTTGTTTGTGTCCAAGCAGGGTCTTGGGTGAGCCAAGCTCTGTTAAAGTGGCCACAGGAATGAGAGGCCACCACACAAGTGAGGATACTGGAGACAGTCCGTCTTCTGGGGCTGTGTGAATGCACGTTTAGTGGTGGGGGCTGTCACATTATAAGTGGACAGGTGTGAGTCCCAGGCCTCCTGCTGGGAGACTCAAACCCAGCTGAGGCTTGCCCAGAAGGGGCTGGCTTCATCCTGGGCCACCCACACACTGGCAGGCCTGTGTACATGGAGGCCAGTTCCCTTCCTGCATTAGCCATGGCATGGATTCCTAGTCACATCTGTACAGCCAGAGCAAAAGCCTGTAATTTCCATAGAATCCAGTTCTTTGAGTCAGAACTCCAGATAAGTGTTTGTTTTATTTTTCTTTACAGGTCACATCATGTGACTGTGGGGAAAGCCTGGCCTATCATAGAGGGAAGAGACTGGGTGAATTATTTGAAAAGTAAGCCTGTGAATTGCTGTGGAGGAACAACAGCCTGCCGCTCATCTGGAGCCTTTCCAAGGAAAAGCAAAGGGGACCCCAGAAGGCTTCCTGGGAGACAGTTTAATTCTGAAAACAAAGCAGTACTTCACCTCTTGTGTGTTGGGTAGAGCTGTAAAACAGAACACAGTCAAAATAGTCATTAGGGCCACATCAATGTCTGCCCAAAGTCAGGCGGGTATTCCCAGGAAGCTGGGGGGCTGTGGCAGTTGCACACATCAACCTCCTTTCTCCATTGTCACACAGCAGAAGAGCGTGTTCCATTCCACTGAAGTTGGGGTGGGGGGGTTGAGTAATTTATTGACTGAAAACTGGGGGCCTGAGTTAGATGGTAAACAAGTTTAGAGTGCTGCTTTTTGTTTCTTTTTAAAGTTCTGTTTGTTTTATATATTGACGTGCTTAAAATATATTTTAAAAATTCAAAACACCCCAGAAATTCAGCAACTTGAGGAGACAACAGTGACGAGCATTTTATGGCAACATTTGGACACTTGAAAGATTATTTCAGGAACCTTAATGCTGATAAATGAGAGAAGGGACAACTTCTAACTATAACATGTCGGCACCTGAGTACAGAGATCAAAACAAGAGCGAGCATTTCAAATTCATATTGTGAAGCACCTACAAAAAGATTATTCTGTCAGCCTTCACAATGTGGACAGTTCATCTTTTCATCTTATCAAATAAAAATATACCCAAATTCTTGAACAGGCATTCAGTTAGGAAAAGGAGGGGGGGTGATGAAATGTGTTCTCATTCAGTAAACACTTTGCAGATATTTCTAGTCAAAGATCCCTGTGGTCTAGGCTAGTGAGAGAAAAACGTGCCCTCTGCCCAGTGACAGCAGCTTCACGGGGATCAGCTTTCACCAGTGCAGGCAGGGGAACAAAGGGCAGCTTCATCTGCCTGCATCCCACAGGCCCTTGTGCAAAGGAGTTCCATTTCAGTGCCCATCACATGACCTCTCAGGCCAAAACCCTTTTTAATAATTCTGATTTTGAATATCAAATGGAAATGAAAAGTACATTTAGGAAGGAAGGGCTCTATCCTTATTGAAGAACACGCTCTATGCAAACAGGTTGGGCAGACACTAGTTCTCGTAGAGCTGTGGTTCTCAGCTTTGGCAACACTCTGGATCACCTCCTCTAAAAGGTACCGATGCCTGCTTTCCTCCCTCCTCTGCCCCTAAAGAAAGTAGAATTTAATTGCTCTAGGGTGTGGTCTGGGCATCAGGATTTTTTTTTTTTTTTAAGACAGTCTCACTATGTCGCCTAGGCTAGAGTGCAGTGTGCAATCTTGGCTCACTGCAGGCTCTATCTCCCAGGTTCAAGAGATCCTTCTGCCTCAGCCCCCCTAAGTAGTTAGGATTACAGGCACACACCACCACACCAGGCTAATTTTTGTATTTTTTTGTAGAGATGGGGTTTCACCGTGTTGCCTAGGCTGGTCTTGAACTCCTGAGCTCAAGCAGTCCACCCGCCACAGCCTCCCAAAGTGCTGGGATTACAGGCATAAGCCACAGTCCCTGGCCAGCATCAGGATTTTTAAAAGCTCCCCAAGTGTAGTCAAGGTTGAGAACAGTTGCTATAGAGTGATTTAATACAGCATTCAAGGCCTCTCACAATCTAGCCTCAGCCTAATTTTTCCTTCCCCCACCCCATCTCAGCCTGTACATAAGCCACAGAGACATTCTCACTGGTCTCTGAATGTACTTGGCTCATTCATATTTCCAGGCTGTCTTGCACATACATTGTCTGACTCTGGGCACCTAAGGAAAGCTCAGCTCCAGTGTCCCCTGTTCTTCTGTGAAACCTCTCCCGTCAAGCCCACCTTCACTACTAGGTCACTCCTTGCTCCTTGATCAGATGGAAGAATGCTTTGTGCATGTCTCTGCTGGAGCCCTTCTCACTTGACATTAAAGATATCTGTATCCAGGTCAGCCCACTCCTCTTCCCCAATAGTATGTGGATGCTTTGTAGTTTCAGCAATAAGCACAGGGCTTGGTTTCTATGAATACTTATTGAGTGAATGAATGAATGAATGAATGAATACCAATCTTGTACATTGTTGATGTTCACCACATTGAACCCAGTTCTCAAACCAGGATCACTTGGGAGATTCTGAGTCAGTAATTTGAAGGTCTGTATCATTCTTACTCAAAGTGTAGTCCATAAGCCAGTAGTTGTTATATTATCTGGAAGCTTGTTGCAAATGCAGAATATGTATTTCAACAAGATCCTCAGGCAATTCATATGCACATTACACTTTGAGCTATATTTTTAACAAGCTCCCAGGTGATTCCTTTGTAGCCTGGCTGCCGACTCGCATTTGGTAACCACTGTTCTAGACCTTCGTTTACTGAATGGAGTGGTCCCTGTGTGATTGCCTGCAGGTTTCTTCTAGTCTCCCATTTTTCTTCCTAGTTAACAAAGCCCAAATTTTATTTTGAAGGGTGATCAGCCCTTCACCCACCAGGCCTTTGCTCAGGGAAGCTTGATCCCACCTTTAGACCCCATATTGGGACTGAGTAGTCCAAAGGCATATCCCATTCCCCTGGTCAGGGATTAATTTAGGGGTAGACATGTGACCAAATTCAGGTCAATAAAATGTGAGTCTGCAGGGGCAATCTAGAAAAAGTGTCCTCTTCCTTAAGAGAAAGCCACAGAAGGGGGGAAAAAAATGTCTCAGTACATTGTCCTGCCTAAACATGATGCCTTGGACATTCTGCTTCTGTCTTGCTACCTGTAACACAAGGAAAGCCAACACTGAGGGGTCACAGCAGAGGGACGGAAAGCACCTGGATCTTATGACATTGTTGAGCTCTTTTGTCTCTTGACTTCTAGTTATGAGATGTAACTATTTTACTGTTAAAGTCATTTCTGTTCCTTGCAACCAAAAGCATTCATTGTTATACTGAATATAGTACCATATTTATTCAATCAATAAATGCCTGGCAAATACCCACGTATGAGTAATTGTAGTTTGTCTCCCAGCTATTCTTTCAAGTAAAAGTGATGTTCCATGACAAAACCGGCTAGTTTAGCTTGTAACACAAACATCTGCACAAGTGCTTTTTCCTTGAGACAAATATTGTACTTTCATATGCAACAGATGTATGTGCTTTATGCATGTTCCCATTTCATAACACAGAGTATTAGAAACATGTATGCTTCAGGGTTGAGATCTCATAAAATGAGTAGTTTTCACAGCTTCATTGAGGACACTCTTAAATGAAACTGGCAGGGTTTTTTTCTTGAGTACTATGACATGGGTGGCAGTAAAGAATACAATAGCTATTAATATAGTTTGGTGCTACTGCCTTGAAATATGCTAAGGCATCAGCAGTTTTCATCATCGTTGCTTTGACATCATCAGTGCAGGTGTCAATACAGTGAAAAAGGTAAATGGCATCTTGGTGTGATTATGGAAGTAGATTGATCTAATGAACCACCTGAAGTAGCGTTGGCCTTCCCAGGGATCTTAGAGAACTAATATAGTGGTGATTACTTGGGCAATAAAGTCTCTTAGGAGAAGTTATGGATACAAAATGGTTATTGTTGAGGCCTGGAAGATACTGAATTATGTGCCATATCATGGTTCTGACTCCTTTATTTCGGTCAATGTCACTATTGCCTCAGTGATTGCCAGCACATGAGGCTGGTAACAGAGGAGTCCTAGGAGTATCCAGGTGCTGAGGTGCTTGTGAGGCCTTAGGATGGAGGGCACAGGAAACGGGCTCACCCAGTGCTACCAGTTACAGACTCATTCACAAGACTGTGAATCCACAACTAAGTTCTTTATTTCCCTCTTCAGCCTGTCAGCCAATTTATCTTGTACTCAGCTTAGAAACGAACTATTTAATGTAGTGTGATTTCTGTTCATAATTCTTAAAATACTCTTATTAGTGAAGTCGTCTAAGTTCAGCCTTTTCTTGGGCTAACATGTCTCTGATGCTGAATAACTATTAAATAATGAATGTATTGTTTCACTCTGAGGGGCATCAAGATTCCCTCAAGTAGCACCTCCTCCCATTGCTTGCCAGAAATAGGCATTTTGGCAACACCACAAAGCACCAACTTTCGAGGTCTCACTGAGCCAGTCCTTGTTTCCAGGAAAGAAAACCTATGTTCTTGAGCCAGAACAAATGCTCCAAAGGCTGAGATTTTCTTTTCTCTTGCTGGAGAGGGAAGAATGACAATGGTTTGCTTGGATTCCTATAGTGGGAAAGCCATCTAGAAATTCCAGCCAGGCAGATCTCTCTCGCATGGAGATACTGTCCCTTGACTCATGAATGCACTATGGAATTTGCCCTGGTGCCATCTGAAGGGTTAAAAAAAAGGATCCTATTCCTTACTAGCAGTGATGCTGAGGGCTGAATCAAATTAGGGAAAAGGCCAGTCATGCTGCTTGCCTTCTATGTTTACTGAGATAATTTCTTAAAGCACAGAAGCAAGACAGACAATCCAAAAGATCGACATGAACTTGTTCTGCAGAGTATAGTTTCTGTCTTACTGCATTGCTATGAAAAAAAAAAAAAAAAAAAGAGAGATCTGAATGTGGCAAGGAAGTAAGTTCCCTAGATCATCAGAGAAATGACTGAGTTTTAGCAAGTTTTTCGTAATTTTTGACCTAAAATATTCTTTCCTTCAGGGCCTCCCTGGAGTTTTTGTTTTGTTTTATTACTGTTTTTGAACACAAAAAAACACCTGCATCACACATTCTTACCCTCACTTTTGTGCTCTGTGTTGGGAACACAGGAGTTGGAATGATGTCCTTGGCTCTGGGCCTCTAAATCTTCACAGTGAATTCATCAAACTCTACACCTCAGGACGAGTCCAAAGCTTGGAAGGTAAAGAGGAGGAAGCAGGGGTTATAAACATACACCAGGCAATTTTTTTCCCCGTATCTGGGTCATTTTACTTTTCTCTGTGTAAAATGCCTGGCCTTGGTGTTTTTGAGTGTGCATGTAAACTCAGACTTGGCCGTGGGGAACATGGGCTCAAACCTCTACAATATTCCTGGTGATTGGCCTTGTATATCCCTACCCTTGCTACTCCTTTTACCCTGACATTGAACATTTGCTCAGTACTTTAACTCTTATTATTATGTTGGTAGAACACCTTTCTCCCCTTAAGCATAGTTCTAGTACATTATTTCTGTGTCTTATTAGAAAAAAGGGATGGAGCAATAAGTTGGGAGATTTTGCATCCTAGTTCTGCCATTAAATGGCCATAGATACTGGAAAAGTCATGTTCCTGTTCTGGGCTTCATGTGTAAAATGGGGATTGGCGAGAGGGCTGAATTTCCAGTGGTCCATAGACCTGGTGATGTGGTTTAGATATTTGTCCCCTCCAAATCTCATGTTGCAATGTGATCCCCAGTGCTGAAGGTGGGGCCTAGTGGGAGGTGTTTGGATCACGGGGGCAAATTCCACGTCAATGGCTTGGTGTCATGCCAACAGTAATGAGTGAGTTTCTTGATCTATGTTCTATTAGTTCACGTGAGAGCTGGTTTTAAAAGAGCCCAGCACCTCCCCCAACCCTCCCTTGCTTTCCTCTCTCACACATGATACACTGGTTCCCCTTTTGCCTTCTGCTATGAATATAAGCTTCCTGAGGCCTTCACCAGAAGCAAATGCTGGCACTATGCTCCTCAAGTAGCACATCCTAGTGGCCACATGAAGAGGCTTCTGGTGAAAGGGAAGGAGAGAGTGCTGCCAGTTTCTAGGGAAGTGGACAGGCGTACGAGTGCTGCCCAGAGCTGCTGCACACAGGGCTGCTGAGGGCCAACTTAGGTTCCTACTCCTGTGATCAAGAATGACAAACTCCCGCCTACATTGCTGGCCTACATGTTTGAGGCCTTCAAGCACTCAGGGAGTACTAACGTTTACTTTCTGTGTGATGTGTGATGTTAGTGCTGCCAGTGACCAAAGGATGAAAGAAGAAAATACTTCTAAAAAGAAACAATGAGAGAAGCCAGTTGGCTATGTATCTGTAGAAAAAGAGGGGAATCTTGGTGGTTCTAAGGGAAACAAAGATAACAAACTAGGAAAATAATTCTAGAACACACAGACCAAGTAGTAATACATATGAAACACAGCATGAAAGAAGATCCCTTCATATAAAAGTTAAACATTGAGAAGAGGATTTTATGCGGTAACTTAAAACTATTACCCCTTTCCATGTTTTTTCCAAGAGGCTAGTAAGGACTCATTTAAAACAAGCATTAGAAATAAGATTTGCCAATAAGATCATTGAAACAATATATAGAAATTAAGACAAAATTCTGGGCACATTTTACCTACATATTTTGTTAAGCCACTATAAAAAAAAGTGACACTTTCGGTTAATATGCTTATCATTCTAAACCTACCATCAGATAACACAAAATTATAATATTGGTAAAGGAGTTGGCGTCAAGAACTAAAGGGAAACAGCCTATCAGAAAGTCAACATGGCAGAACTGCTTAAATATATGAGGCAGCGTGATGACCTAAAATCTTGGGTCAATTCATCTATAACAACCTTGGAGAAATGTTCCTAAATTTTTGTGCCTCAATATTCTCATAAACACAGTGGAACAATACTGCTTCATGACTCTGTTATGAGAAAATGAATAGTCTAAATTGCCACCACAATTCTAATTAAAATGTTACCTTGAGTGCAGTGAGCAAAACCTTGTCTTTAAGAACCAGCAGAAGCTAGGTGTGGTGGCACACATCTGTGGTCCCAGCGACTTGGGAGGCTGAGGTGGGAGGATTGCTTGAGCCCAGGAATTTGAGGCTGCAGTGAGCTATAATCGCGCCACTGCACTCCAGCCTGGGCACAGAGTGAGTCTCTGTCAATAAATAAATAAATAGGCTGCACAGTGGCTCATGCCTGTAATTCCAGCACTTTGGGAGGCCAAGGTGGGTGGATCACAAGGTCAGGAGATGGAGATCATCCTGGCTAACACAGTGAAACCCCGTCTCTACCAAAAATACAAAAAAATTAGCCGGGCGTGGTGGCGGGCGCCTGTAGTCCCAGCTACTCAGGAGGCTGAGGCAGGAGAATGGCGTGAGCCCTGGAGGCGGAGCTTGCAGTGAGCCAAGATCGCGCCACAGCACTCCAGCCTGGGCGACAGAGCAAGGCTCCGTCTCAATAAATAAATAAATAAATAAATAAGAAAAGGGAGAAAAAAAGAACCAATAGTTTTTTTGGTTTTTTTTTAAGAAAAAAAAGAAAGTCTTCTAAAAGTTGGTCAAACCACAAGGAAAAAGCAATTCAGTTGAGGGAGTGGAGGAAAGGCTGACCCAGCTTTCAGCTTCTGTATCTTCCTTTTAATAAAGAGACAAGGCAATCATATTATATAATTTTTATTATGCACTCATTTTGGATGTTTTCCTTACGAATTATAAGTGAGTTTCAGAATTCAGTGAGTTTAAAGAAACCCCATTTCCTTCACAGGCTGTGTTGTGTGTGGTCATCTTTCACCTGTCATAGGAGTGTTTGGCCCAGTTAAAGGCTGCAGGTGTGTGAGAACAGATGGTATTGAGAATGGGGACATATTCAGGCTACAAAAAGACTGCCAAAAGCCGATTTGAGGTTAATGCTTTAAGAGCAATGGTGCTTTTTTCTTTCTCTTTCTCCTCTGTACACGGGGAGCAGGTACTCTATCAGAACCATGTCCTGGAGATTTAATTTGTGTTTTCTTTTCTGTTCTTTAGTGAGAGAAGTACGAGATACTTCTACCACCTTAGAATCAATGCAGCAAGCTTCCCTGAGAATAGTAGGTATGCAGTGAGCTGTCCCTACTATCCCGGGTCTAAAAAGGAAAGGAAGGAGAGAGAAAGAAAAAAGGAAAGACAGAGGAGCTGTTTTCCTCTTGGGTAGATGGGAACAGGGTTTGCATATCTGGGACAGGATAGTGGTTTAGGTCAAGGGGAGGCAGTAGATGCTAGAACCTGGCCTGAGCTACCACTCCCATTAGCCTCCACGGGCATCTGTGCACAAAGATTGATTGTGCAGGTCACTAAGAATGGCATTAGCTTGGCATTCGGCCTAATAATGTGCAAGGGCCAGATACAGAGTGTGACACTGGAGAATAATCCATTCCCAAGAATTGCTGTGAACTACCGCTGTGCCAGTCCTCCATGGCAGCAGGCCCAGCAGAGCACCCACCCTCTTGCTTTGCCCCCTAGACCCCGCCTTCAAGGTTTGCTTCACCAGGGAAACTCAACTGCCCCTGGTGTCTGTGATCCCAAGGGGTAAGGCCACTTTAGGCTGGAACTTCCTCCACCACCCACCTGTGAGTCAACAAAGGAAGCCAAGAACTTTACCCTCAGGCCTGGGCCAGCATGCTGGGAGCCCGTCCTCCTGGCCTAGCAAGGCAGCAGGGCAGTCATTGCCCAACGTGAGGACCCCAGAACAGGGGTGACACTGCCTGAAAATCCAGGGAGCTACTCCTGGTGCTGGGGTTTCTGTCCAGCTTCTGATCTTCAGACATGCCCCACCAAAGCCGGCTTCTGCCTACAGCCCTTCTACCAGAAGCTCACCCAAGACGATAAGCAGCTTACCAAGATCCACACTTCCTGCCCAAGATAATAACGTACCGAAGATCCACACTTCCTGCCCAAGATAATAAGTACCAAGATCCACACTTCCTGCCCAAGATAATAAGTACGGTTGGTGGAATGAGTTTTTCTGCTGCTTTGGACCTGGTATCTAGGGTCCTAGCTGAAAAGAAGAGGTGCTAAATGCCTCACATTCAAAAGAGAGCTCTCAGAAACCAGGGCCAGATACTATTTCCCTAGGCTTCCACAGTCAGCCCTGCTCCTATCCCTACCACCTCCCTGCTCCTTCTGTATGGAGAAGAGCGGAAAGAAGTCATCTAGGCCAACAGCCTTGGACAAAGTTTACAGTAGGAAGAGACTCCCTATTCCCCACTGTCCACTCCTGCCCCAAGGCAAAAGAAATGAGGGAGGGGCTGCAAGAAGGGGAGAGCAGCACCTCATTCCCCAGCTGGACATCTGCTTCAGCTATGGACTTGCAGGTTTCCCCTTTGCCTACCTGAGCAGGAGAAAGTGAACTGAAGAGAGAGGGCAGCCGAGGAATGGTTTGCACCTGGAGAAAGTATGAGTCTTGAACTGTCTTGTCAAGATCTACCCAAGAGGCCAGCCCACTGGGCATAGGGACCCAGAAACAATAGGCTGTGGGGTGTGCCACCAGAGCGTTGCTGAGAAGTGGCAGAAGACGTCCTTTCAAGCTGGATCTTCCACATCAGAGAATGGTGTGGTCCCCTCTTTCCTACACCTTCCCACTCCAACACCTGGAGGATTGTAAAACTAAGTGAGGGAAGTAGGCCAGAGAGCATTCTGAATTAGATACGAGAAAGAGGCTTTAGAGTGAACCAACCTCAGTTTAGTGTTTGAAAGTGACAAGAGTAAAGGAATCTGTCTACAATGTGCTAAGGGAAAAGACTTTTGCTTTTTATTTTTAGGAGCAAATCAAATTGGAAGATAGTGATTGGAAAAAGTAAAGCCATTTTGTTTATGTGCTGCTGAGTTGGGACTGCCCAGTAAGCAATTCCAGAATCATAAATAGCGAAGGGCCTGTGGAAGTGTGGACTCCACATGCTTCCACATCCTTTCCTACCCTGAGACTCTAGGTTTGATTGTAGCTATAGCAGACTTGAAAGAGAGTCACAGCCGTCACTGGGCTTCAGTTGTGTGTGGACAAGTCTGGAGGATGGTGGGATTAGTCAGCCCTGGGCTCCTATTTGAGTCCTGTGAAGGAGACGGGAGGAGGTACCGAAATAACTGAAAGAGCCACTTTTATTAAAATTGGGTAAAACATTGCTGTTA